GATGAGGGACAAAATTGTCTTGCGAGGTAGATGGATGGAGGTATACCATCAGAGTGATGGGAATTGACCCCATGGCTAGTCGACTGGTCTGCAGCGTCAATACGATCGATCTTTTTCATCATTGTGAGCACCATATCCTCAAACTTGTTCATGTGGTCCTCCTGCGCATTATTAGGCTCGCTATGACCATTACGCTAACTGTTTCTCTAGAGAGGTCAACGTTAGTGGCGATAGAAGTTTTGTGAGCTTGACGGGGCGGACATGGTAGGTCAGTCAGTAAGGGGTCAGCATGCCTCGACTGAACTCGACTTTTGTATGCAGATCATGTTTGGATTGGTTATCGACAGTCTTAGGACCGTGGCTGTGGGGCCAGTTAACGACGGTCTTGGGACCGTGGTTGTTGAGTGGCTGGGTCTTCATCTGCGACAGTAACCACAACACAGGGCTCATGGAGCTCTTCTTTAGGCTTCATCATCTAAAGGGGGTAGAAGGGATTCAAGTGAAGAGGCTCGTCAAAATTGCTGTTTTGACTGCCTTGGTCACCTCCCTAGTCAAAATTTGTAAACCTCTATCACGTTTAACCTTGAGGTTTTGATGGAGCTCTTGGCAAAACTTTGATCTAGGTCATGGTTGTTTAACTCTTCTTGCACAGGAGAGAGTTGTCTCCATCAGGTGTGGTAAAAGGATGAGGGCTAGGAACTGGAGTCATCTTCGGCTGGGGAGGATGAAGGACTCAATCTTCTATGAGGTCTATGCCTCGAGCTCTCTTATGAGCTCCAAAGACATGACCAAAGTGTTGGGGCTGGTTCGGGATGTTACTCTTGGGGAAAACCTTCGAGTACTAAGGCTGAAGGTGCGTGCTTGATGAAGGAGCAAGCAGGAGCAGGGTCGAATCATGAGGAGGCCTGAGTCAAAGACGAGGGAAGGCTTGAGATGGCGACACTTGTGCGCCCCTTGAAGAAGCATCTTGAGGGACCTGGGGATCCACTCAGGCTCGTGCAGGTGAGTTGGCCTTAAGAGGCCGAGAACTATGAGCAGGTGTCTGTAAGAGAACAGGTACAGGCCTTCCCCTTACAAGGTGCGCTTGTGTGTGCATAGGAGGAGGATGAGGAGGTTGTTTCCTGTGTACTCGGGTTGGCGCAATAATGGCGTTGCCCCGAGTAGTGAGATGCACATGAATGGCATGTGGAGGAGCTGGCCTCTGAAGGTTCGATCCTGGACATGGACTCGATGTAACAGATGGGTTGCCCCGAAGGGTGACTCGAGTGGGTGACCCACGAGCCTTGTGGTGTGTGTAAGGGGTAGAGACTGTGGGGTTTCCACCTTTTGTTATTAAGCCTCTAGGGATAGAGACCCCTGGTGTAGGAATGTGGGGATTAGCCTTATGGTGATCGACAAAAGCAATGGCAACTTACTTGCCTTTTGCCAAAAGGGACTGGGCAGCCTTCCGACGTACGTTAGAAACATGATCGGCAAGTGACTTGCCAGTGGCTGGGTGCATGTTGTGTGGGGCAACATAAGTGCCGCCCATGCATGGCGCCTTGGTGGAGTTTCCACCAGAGCAAATAGATGAGGGACCTTCAAGTCCCTCCTCACACCGATCTAGGTTAAGACCTGGGAGCTAGACAAGAGGTCTTTGTTCAAGAGGATAGTCAGGAACAAAGTTGAAGGACCTTGTTCCCTAAGGACCCTCTCGAATAAGTGGATAAGAAAATCCCTGATCCGGATGATTGGGTTATAAAACCCAACAGCCATGAGTGAATGTGAAAAGATGATGAAAGTAGATAAAGAAGAAACTAGCCAAACAAGATCGAGCCGACTAAGGGGTAGTAAGTCCCCAGTGGAGTCGCCAAGCTGGTTAGGTGCTTCAATCTCGCCCTTCGAAACCCTGGGGGATCGGGCTGCTCACATCTCGGGTTTCGGGGAAGTCCTGGGACATTCGTGAGATCGCTCTCTCGGGAACCTCGTTCGAAAACGGGGGCAGGTGTTACCAACCGGTGCGAGAGGAATTTAAAAGGTGGGTTTGGGATTTACTCGGGATGACTCGTGTGGGGGCCCTCTTAGATCACGAAGAAAGCCCCCCAGTACTGAAATTGGTTTGGAATCGCCTCCCTTGGCTCGTATTCTTCTTATTTTCTGCTTTCTGCAATCACACACATATATGGAAAAGGTTATGGGATAGGTGGGTTACGCCTCATCCTTTTCCTCTTTTATGAACGTATGCAAACATGCGTATTCAAAAAGAAGAAAGAAAGACGGGGAGAGAAGGATTCGACCAAGCGAGAAGGTCAGGGCAGTGACTAGGTTGGTGGATAATTGACATAACGTGGTGGCGAACAAGCTCGGTAACTGAAACTGGCTCACGGGATTGCCACTAGACGTTAATGCCGATATCTACTAGCTAGCCACGATGGTCGGTCTGTCGTGGCAGTAAAGCGGGCCAAGAGAACTTGGCGCAACAACATTATGGCTAGACGACAAGACCGCTATGAGATGCTAACCTCAATCCCTTTTGATCGAACAAGAGAGTAGCAGAGGAATGGTTAAAGAGAAGAAGGGGATAGATGGAAGGAGAGAGAAGAAGGAAGAGGAGATGTAGTCGACGCTAGACATCATCGACTGTTTTAGGAGATGGAAGAGAGAGGAAGCAGTAGGCGCTAGGCTTCGTCGACTGTATCAGATGAGAAGAGAGGAAGGGAACCAACTAGCGCTTAGTCTCACCATCGGACAAAAGAAGAGAGGGAATGGACCAACCGGTACTAGGCCTTGCTGACTGGTAGAGAGAGAAAAGACAATCGACGCTAGGCGTCACTAATTGGTGCTAGGTCTCACCGACTGATAGATGAAGAGAGAGGAAACCAGCCGATATAAAGTCTCGCTGACTGATAGACGAAGAGAGATAAGACCAACCGGCGCTAGGTCTCACCGATTGACAGGGGAAGAGAGAGAAACCCAACCAGCACTAGGTCTCGCTGACTAATAGACGAATAGGGAGAAAACCAACCGACGTGAACTCTCGTTGACTGATAGACGAAGAGAGAGAAGACCAACCGGTGCTAGGTCTCACCAACTAGTAAACGAATAAAGAGAAAACCAACCGATGCTAGGTCTCGTCGACTGATAGACGAAGAGGGAGAAGACCAATCGGTGCTAGGTCTCGCTGATTGACAAAGGAATAGAGAGAAAACCAATCGGCGCTAGGTCTCGACGACTGGTAGACAAATAGAGAGAAAACCAACCGACATTAGGTCTCGTCGACTGGTAGACGAAGAGGGAAGGGAAGAGAAGAGAGAGAAAGAGAGAACGAAGAGAGAAAGAGAGAAAAACAGAGAAAAGAGAGAAAGAAGAGAGGAAGAGAGAGTGAGAGAAAGAAGAGAGAGAGTGAGAAGAGAGAGAAAGGAGAGAGAAAGAGAGAAGAAAGAGAAAGAAGAGAGAAGAAAGAGAGAGGGAGAAGAGAGAGAACGAAGAGAGAGAAAAGAGAGAGAGGGGAGAGAAAGGGTATTGCCCTTTTCTTCTCTCTCTTCTCTCCCTCTCCAAGACGTACTCACAGTCTCAAACAATGAATCGAAATTTCGATTCAATCTTCTCAAATATCAATTGAAGGTCGAGGTTCTTTGTGGGGGTCTGGCGTGTTTTTACAATGAGGCAGTTATTATTTATATAGAGTTGTGCCCAAACATGGGTGGATTGATCAAAATTAGACCTAATTGTTGAAAATTAAGATTTAATTGAATTAAAAGAAATTCTAAAAATGGGTGCAAAAGGACTGTTTTTCCCCTGCCTAACAATGTGTGGGATTTCATAACAGTCCTTGTGGCTGCTCGAGAACTTGCGTGATCTTCTGTGGCTGACTCGGGTTGTTCTGATGCCTGTTTTATCAAAAAAATATTGTTTTCTTGTAGGGCTCGACATGGCAATTGTTTTGATACCAACTTTAAGCCGTGAATCATGTTTTTGAATCATGATCATGAGACATGAAATTTGTTTGAATATTGAAATCTTCAGATCGATAGTACGGTCTTTCGTTAATGTTTTTCTGTGATTTCTTCGTCGTAGTGCACTAAGCATGTCATTACGATCGCGTGACAACAATTGGAGCGCAATTTGAAGCCCGAACGAAGATTTCACAACATTTTAGTTTTGGCCAGAATCTGGAATCCGGCGGCCGAAATTTCAGTAACTTCGTCGGCTTTGTGCATGAAATCTGATCGTCAATCATGTATGTGGTTTGGTCCAATGATAGCCCTGAACCTTACGCACACAATAGAATTGGTCTTGCGTCGATCCGTTTTGCGAGGGTCGTGATTTGGTTTATCGAGCGAGGTGTGTCGCTGCTGAATTTTCTCTTCTTCACGGATCGGCAACTTCTCTCTAGCTTTTCTCCCTGCTCGGATATCGTCTCAAGGCGTGCCAGATATCGAATTGTTCGTCTTAATGAGACGAATACGCTCACCAAATTTGGGAGCGATTCGATCTGGAACGAGTGAGTTACGGGCCTCGAAAGTGACTGCCCGTGACTGTAAAAACAGCCACCTTTAATAGTGTTTTGGTGCAGTGAGGTCATACAGGAATAGTGTGCGACATCTCATGTTTCAATGTTTTCCTCATATTTTTTTTTTGGAGTGTTTGATCAAGCCGAAACTTGGCCCATAAAGGTTTTCTACTGTGTCGTATCCAATGGCGGGTCCCATAAGGATTTGAGACACTGAAAATGTAGCTCCAGTTGTAGGGTCTGTTTCAGGGTGCTAGAGGCCAATTTTTCGAAAACTGTTTCTGTGTTCACTGCCTTAGACATGTCTGATCGTGATGAAACTTGGCAGGTGGTCTGTTGAAGTGTTGATGACGATCTTGAGCAATTTTGGGGCCATTCTGACATTGTCGGGAATTTTCCACTGTTTTGTAGGCTTTATTGACTTGCTTCCTACCAAGGACCAAGGTGATGAAAATTACGTTCAAACAATGATGTTTTTTGCATAGGTTATTATTACATACATATTGTCATGGATATTGACAAAGATCAAAGTCATGCCCTCACCAATGATGTTGTCAGTTATAGTGAGATGAATTCTTGGGCCATTACTCCTATTGTAGGTGAGGATGCGTATACAGTTGAAAATATGGTGGAAGCTTCTCATTATGTCAAAGATGATGCTAGAATGATAGAAAATCCTATGGTAAAAATTGTAATTGAATCTGAAGAAAATTTGAAGTTTGAACCATTTGAAGGAATGGAATTTGAATCTCAGGAATCTGCGAAAGAGTTCTATAATGAATACGCTAGGAGAGTAGGCTTTAGCATGCATGCCAGTAGCCTTTATTATATGCATGATGAAATTGCTAATGCTAGAAGATTTGTTTGTTCAAAACAAGGATTTTGAGAGAAGAAATATATGGACAATGAAAATAGAGTTAAAAGACCACGTGCAATTACTCGAGAAGGGTGTAAGGCAATGATGATGGTGAAGAAAATTGATAGTGGAAAATGGGTCATTAGGAAGTTTATAAAAGATCACAACTATTTGCTAGTGAAGCCCGGAGAAGTTTAATATCTACGATCACATAAGAAGATGACCAACGCAGCACAACATATTATAGACACATACACCAGTGCAAGATTACGTCCACGCCTTATAATGTTTGTGCTTAGCAACGAAGTGAGTGGAAGTGGCAATCTTGCATTCACTCATCGTCACTGTCGAAATCACATTGCCAAAAGTCGGCAAAAGAGATTTGAAAAAGGATATATTCAACTTGTCCTTGAATACTTTAGAAATATGCAATTTGAGAATCCTGTATTTTTTTATGCGATGCAAGTAGAAGAGAATGGACATTTGACTAGAATATTTTGGGCCGATGCTAGATCAAGGATGAACTATCAATTTTTTGATGATGTTGTTGTGTTTGACACAACTTATTTGACAAACAAGTATCGAATGCCTTTTGTGCCATTGACAGGAGTAAATCACCATCATCAATCTATGTTATTTGGTTGTAATTTACTAGTCGATGAAATTGAAGAGTCATTTGTTTGGCTTTTTAAGAAATGGCTTCAAGCAATGTCTGGCCATCATCCAACTTCAATAATTACTGATCAAGATCTTGCTACGGGAGCAGCCATCAGACGAGTATTTGCAAATACTTACCATCATCTTTTTTTGTGGCACATTTTGAAGAAAGTACCAGAGAAGTTGTCTCATGTATATGCGGAATATGGAAAAAGTTTTAGCGATGATTTTCACAAGTGCATCCATAATTTTGAGACAATACATGAGTTTGAATCACGTTGGCAAACAATCATTGATCGCTACAATTTAAGAGAGAATAAATGGCTAATCAAAATGTATGGTATTCGTGAGCAATGGGTTTAAGCATTCATGCGCAACACCTTTTTTGCAGAGATGTCTACAACCCAACGTAGTGAGAGTATGAATTTATTTTTTGATGGCTATGTAAATGCAAAAAGCACTCAAAAAGAATTTATTGAGAATTATGCACTTGCATCAGATAGTCGCAATATTGAGTATGTTGTGATAGAAGAAGAGAATGATGGAGAAATAATTGTATTTAAAGTCTCAAAATATGACAAAGAGAAAAGGGTATTCATTGTTACATTGAATGTACTTGAAATCAAAGCAACTTGTAGTTGCCAATTGTTTGAGTTTGCTGGATTACTTTGTAGACACATTTTAATTGTTCGTAGAATGAAAAATATTTTTAAAATTCCACCTTGTTACATCTTGAAGCGATGGACAAAAAATGCCAAGGAAGGGTGTGTAATAGATGGACATGGTCATACAAAACAAGTTGATTTGCATGATCCTTGACTGTGCGATACAATGAATTGTGTAAAAGGGCAATAAACTTTGTAGAGAATGGAGCTATGTATAAAGAAACATTTCAGGAAGCGATGTATGTTCTAGATGAGGGCTTGAAAATAGTTGCAATTGTCCAAGAAAATATCGATGAAACACATCAACAAGGCAGCCCAAAAGATTTCGAAGTTTTGCAATTAAATGTCAATGTAAGTAAAGAAGTGAATTTAATAAACAATAGGTTAGTGCTTGACCCCCTACCAGTGAAGACGAAAGGGAAGCCTCCTAAACATCGGTTGAAATCCTTCTTGGAGAATACACAAAAGAATGATAAAAAATGTACCATGTGTAAAGCTAGTGGTATGATAAGAGGAATTGCCAAACTTTGAGGAGTGTACTGAATGTCGAAGAATGCAAATCAAACGGTTCTTAAATTGACCCCTTTTTTAAATGCATCATTTTCAATTGTTGATGAATTCGTAATTGATCTCTCTCTCTCTCTCTCTCTCTCTCCCCCCCCCCCCTTCGCACCCCGCCACCCTCAATTAATTAATATTTTGTTTGTAACAGATTCAAGTGACAATCATACTCATGTTTGAAGAGTATAGGAGAAGTTGCATTAGTAATTACCGGTAACTCACGTTTACTGCATTGTTAACTATTCTTGTAAATTGGTTTTGTAATCTCAAGTGTAAAATCTAATTGCATGTTGCAGGAAGTTGCTCTTTTGGTGATATCTTAGTATGAGCATGGTGGAATACTGGGTGGTATGGTTGGTATGGTTGGTGGGATTCTATGACAAGTTCCTGTTTTTGTGGGTGTGAGCATGGTGGAATACTGGCTGGTATGTTGGTATGGCTGGTGGGCTTCTATGACAAGTTCCTGTTTTTGTGGGTATGAGCATGGTGGAATACTGGTTGGTATGGTTGGTGGGCTTCTTCGGCTTGGAGGAGGCTTCATATTGGTGTCACTTTTCTTATGATGCATAGCATAGATCAGAGAAAGAGATTATTGTAATTCAATTCTATGTTTCTGTCACAAAAACAGTTGGATGTATTCATTAATGTTGGCAAATGCATAGAGATCACAACTCTAACTCTCTCTCTCTCTCTCTCAAAATTGTTTAGACTGGTGTTCATTGAATTCATTATCCACTCGGCACCCAATTCAAAGTTCATCAGAATAAAATGGCATTATTCACAATAGATATATAAAAAAAACAAGAAGCTTTGGTTTTTCAGAGATGGGTTTTGTCATTCTGGTTTTTCAGAGATGGGTATTCCCAATCTCTTTCTCAGAGATTCATTCTGGTTTTTAGAGATGATTTTTGTAACTTACGTTGGGTCATGGGTTTTGTGTCTCTGTTTATTGGTTGGATCTCTGAGGCTTTCTATTTACCTGGAAGTTATCCCCACAAATACCTTAAAGGGGATGAGCTATGGGTTAAGGTGAATTCTCTCACCTCTGTTGAAACAGAGTTTCCTTATAGGTATTATAGCCTCCTCTGTGTAATGGTGGGTAATGGGGTTCAAATTTTGGGAATGGGGGTTGTTACCATACTCTTTGCAGCCTTTGGTTTCATGTCTCCAGCCTCAAGAGGAATCTCATCACTGGTATGCTATTATTTTTCTATATGGTTCTTGGTGTAGCAGCTGGTTATGCAGCTGTCAGACTTTGGAGGACCATCAATAGTGGGGATCACAAGGGTTGGTTATCTGTTTCATGGAGAGTGGCTTGTTTCTTTCCTGGTATTGCCTTTCTTATTCTCACTACTCTGAATTTTCTCTTATGGAGTAGTCACAACACCGGTGCAATTCCCTTCTCACTATTCGTTGTGTTGATTTTGCTCTGGTTTTGCATTTCTGTTCCTCTAACTTTAGTGGGGGGGTATTTTGGAGTAAGAGCTGCCCCAATTGAGTACCCAGTTAGGACTAATCAGATCCCACCCAAAAAATACCCTTCTTGGCTATTGGTTTTAGGGGCTGGGACCCTTCCTTTTGGAACCCTCTTCATTGAGCTCTTCTTCATTTTGTCAAGCCTCTGGCTTGGCCATGTCTACGATGTATTTGGCTTCCTTCTAATTATTTTTGTCCTTTTTGTGGTGGTATGTGCTGAGGTTTCTCCGGTCTTGACCTATATACACCTTTGTGTGGAGGATTGGCAATGGTGGTGGAAGGCGTTCTTCTCTTGTGGTTCAGTTGCTATCTATATCTTTTTGTATTCAGTCAATTACCTGGTTTTGAGCTCCACAGTTTTGAGTGGCCCGTTTCAGCAGCCCTATATCTGGGTTACTCCCTTTTCATGACTTTAGCTGTTACGTTGGCAACTAGAACTGTTGGGTTCTTATCATCTTTCTGGTTCGTGCATTACTTATTCTCGTCTGTCAAGCTTGATTAATTCAAAACTTTGAGGAGGCTCTCAGAAATATTCATGGAAGAACCAGCATCATTTGCTGGGTCTCTTTGTTGTGAGAACTAGGTTAGAGTATCTTGTAATTTTTTTCATATATGTTCCATGAAGCAGCTTGTTATGACTATTGGGCCATGGATGCTTTGGCATTCCATTGATGGTAATAGAGTTGAATATTTTTTGTATTAGCTTTTTGTATTAGCTTCAGATGCTGCCATTATGCACTGTAATCCTCTTTTATGAACAGTAAATTTATCAAAAAAAAAATTGTGATTGTTACTTTGCAAGGAGTTTTGAATTTGTGTAGAGAATTCATAAAGATCAATCACATATTAGGAGAGAAGAGGCAGAATGGCTTTGAATAAGTAAAAGATATCTAATTCCCTTGATGTAGACTGAATATTATTCCAAATAATCACTATGACTCTTGCCGATACAAGAGTCTTGAAAACAATGGATTACACATATTGTATTAATCAGAAGATCAAATGAACCAAATGATTGCCACCAAAGTTGCAAAGACATGAAGTAAAAAGAAACATGTATGGGTGATGCCATCTGAATTCGATGATGGCCAAGGAAAATATTCATTGAATTCACTCAATGGAATTCAATTCCTTTCTTATCCAGTCTTCCATTCATCTTCAGGTTCCACTTCTGGAAGAGGTGTTTTGGATTTCATGGTTGGTGTTGTTGGGTTCTTGGGCAGCAGCTCTGAGGAGGTCTCGAAGGTTCTGCAGCAATTGCAGAACCGAGAGTTCATCGGAGAGAGTGAGCCTATGTCTTTGCTCCGCTTCCATCCTTAGAAACTTCTTTGGCTTTAAGTTATTAGGGATCATAGGACTATAGGAGTTTCAGAGGTGACCTGCAGAACCCCTACCCCCTTCAAATACCTGGGAAAAAAAAGGAAGAAAATGAAAAAAATGTATTATTTGAAAAAAATCTAATTATGTCTCACATGGCCAAGGTAACAATTCCACTTGCTAATGTGCTTACACATCCAAACTTTCAAACATATAGGTTAGAGAAAGAGAGAGAATATGTTGTAACAACCATCCACTCAACTAGCTTTTAATATTTCCACCAATTTGCATAAAACCAGAAGGAGCTTCTTTTGATCTTCGGTGCCTTAGAGAGACAGATAAATTACAGTCTTAATGAACTTGGGACAAATGTTTTTTTATAATTAAATTCCAAAATATTGAAACTAAGGACACCCAAATTCGATTGAAGTGAATTCTACAGGCCACTAAGGTATGAAGGAATATCTCATTTTCCTAAAAACGCAATCCCAAACAGAAATCAAAGGGACACAGAATAACAGATGAAATTGGTAAATCACAAAGTGAAGCACCTCTGCTTTCCATAAGTTTTGTAAATCACAAAGTAAAACACCTCTGATTGCCATAAGTTCCCAAAAGTTAGACCCTATTTTCAAATCAAGCCAAACCCATTGCTTGAAAAATAGAAGAAAGCATTCCATTGTTTTAATGCCAATAAATTGAGTATCAAAACAATCGAACAGCTGTTCCAATTACAATTGCAGGACTCCCTTACTGGAGCAAAACAATGAGAAGTGAAAACTACGAAAGGCACAAAGAGCGAAGACCGATCAATCCAAAAACCACATGCGATGAAAACTATAAATATTAACAAAAATTACAAATTCGATGATGCAGGGGCATAGAACGAACAACAATGGCCTACACAATAGAACAAGCCATCAATAAAACCAAAACCCACATGTGGAGAAAACTTGAAACCAAACTTAGAAAACACTAATAACTAAAATCACAAATTAGAAGATGCAGTCCAACAAACAAGCAACAATGGCCCCCATGAATACGCATAGTCTACTGCAGAAAAAAGTCACATCTCTGAGAGAAGAAATTGCAGGCAATCCAAATTTTGCAATCAAATTATAAAAAATAAATCACAAGAATTGAATAAAAAAATTACTGCAGGCAATCCAAATTAGCCAGTTGCAGTAGGAATCCTCTCCTAATTGAATAAAAAAAAAAGAGGAGCCAAGGGAAGCTAGGGTTTTGGAGATAGGGTCTTTTATATATATATATATATATATATATATAACTACACAGATACGCGCCATGACGAGGAAGAGAGAGAGAGACAATGTACAGAGAAGC